GAACAGTCACGGAGCTATGAATCATCCTTTTTTTCACTATCTGTCAAACGTGTAGTTCCATAGCCCATTCTCATGACACCCAATTTGCTTGGGTGTAGGTGTAGTACGGATGAGAATTCCTGTATTCTACCATGTCGTCACCAAATGACTTATCGATTATATTATGTCAAACAACCAGTAAGTAATAAACTTACAAGTACTTGTTACATGTAGGCGTTAACGTATATGTAGCAATGCGTCCGTCATGTATTAGCATAGGTCACGCAATCATACAATTGTAATGTATACATACATATGTTTATGACGAAACATAATATAATTGGGTGGTATATCAAAACGGAATTTGAATAGAAATTATCATTATAACACTAACCGCTCCACGTCCTGCGGGTATCGCAATAGGCAATACAGACTATGTGTTTATGTTTATAATAACTATCGTGAGATATTGCTGAATTACCTTTTTTTTTTTTGAGGGGGGAAAATCATCCAATGACTTCTCCCGCCCGGGTGAGGCGGGAGGGAGTGTCAGACTCTTACTGACTAAAAACCACCCCGTTCCTACTCATGCACTTCGAGCCGGAGCCCCGGCAACCCGTTAAGTCTTCCGCGGCTCATTGCTGAATTACCTACGATTCGAGTTTTGAGTCTCTACTAGTTTTGAGTCACAGAGGGACTTTTCCTCATGAGCAGCGTGCTCGTGTTAACAGAGACCAGGCAGCAACGCTCTCTGATATACTTGATTTCTTTTTAAACAACGGTCTCCAACCCACTTGATAACCGTGAAAATTATGGCAAACTTTTCTTTAAAAGGTTCATTGTTCGACAATGGACTCCCACAAGCTGTTGACACAAAATTGTGCAAAATATCCACTACACTCAAATATTTACTTAGATGAAGCTGTAATTGAAACTACAAAGACAGTTTAAACTAACGTTTACCTATTATTACCGCGTTAGATCTATGCTGGCGGTTTTATCTGTAATTCTGCTGGTTATTAGCTAACGGGCTGTTTGATTAGAGTCCTCGCTACCGCCAGGACGTCTACTTGGGTAAGTGGAGGAAAAAGAGGATTTTAACATGCGAGGTCTTGTTACTAGGTGACACGGTGTGTTGTGTGTGTGTGTGTGTGTGTGTGTGTGTGTGTGTGTGTGTGTGTGTGTGTGTGTAGAATGTTGTTTGTGGTTTGATATAGAAAAGTGAACTATATTCCTTTACATACTAGATAACATATCGGAAATTCATTATCTTATAAAATCGTAACACAATATTAATTGACTAAAATTAGTTTATGTTGTTATGGTCGCAGAATTATCAACCAGAAGATTTTATAATTACAAATATTACATTAAAAACGAAACCGCATAGTTTTAAAAATATTTTTAAGAAAAACGAATTAAAAACATAAACATCGGACTAAAGTCCAAAGATACACAGTAGCCTGCCTGTAGCCGATGACGTCACAAATGGTGCTCATTCCCTGTGTAACAACGTTATGAGATAATTTGTAAACATTTACGAGTGCTGCGACTCCACTCCGCTGCTGTTCTTAAATAAAATTGAGTTTTTTATTAAACGGTGAGGTGAAGTGGGTCAATGGGTGATTGAAGTTTTTTCAAATAAATAAGGACAAAAGGCGAGCTATTCGTAAACCGTTCCTTCCTAGAATTTTAAACAAAATTTCTGCGAAAACGAAAAGTGATTAATTCGTCGTTCTATTTATTATTGTGATGAATATTCAAAGTTTTTATTTTGTTTCCTCGAAACTTTTACCATATTTATATTACGGTAATTTTTACATAAGATATACCAGTTAAATATAGAAATAAAATACACAATAAAAAGGTTCTGTGGTCCCCACCACACTGTTAAGGTTACAGTGACTGCCTCGTTGGCCGAGTGGTCGCAAATACGACTGCTGGGCAAAGGGTTTTGAGTCCCCAGGTCGGGCAAAGTATTACTGGGTTTTCTAAAAACCAATTCTCAGTACTAGCACGTACGTAATGTGCACCTCTGCCTACCCCTTCGGGAATGAAAGGCGTGTTATTATGCTATGTTTAAAAAGGTTGTATAGTTATCTGTTTAAACGCATTATCCCGCACTGTGCTTTATGGTTTGGAAAAAGGCGGACATGATGTTACTTAGAAATGATTGAAGCACTCAAATGTCAGTGGTGTAATTATGTGTGCGTGTGTAAAGAGTTACCACGTTATCAGACTTAAGAAAATGACAGATATTCTACGTGCTAATGTGAGTATGTTCTGCGTGTAAGTCTATAGTAACCAGGTGCCACAGTCGTTGTTTCAAGACACTATGTCCGCCTTTTTTCAACGTCCTTTGTCTGAGATGGCTATGTGATCAACTTACGAATACGATACATTAATTTAATAACGGCTAATGGCAAGCAGCTAAAGTTATAAGTAGTTAATACCATTCTAACTTTAAACCAGTCAATAAAAACGTCGAGCAACGAGCACATAATTCTTCATCTGCACTCCACTCTCACGAACGAGTTCTCAAAACTTTAATTCCAAAGCAAAGCAAAGAACTAAAGAACGCAGAACTTCTACATAAAGCTGAGTGCACACGTGATTACATTAAGTGGTGCTGGACTCATCCCGCGAGTGTAGGCAGGGGTTCATTCTCACTGTGATATCGCTTCGTTAGTGATTGAGTGCAAGTGATGGATTGAACTACAGTCTGTACTGGCTTTAGAAACAGGATTTTTGAAATCTCGAAGCTACTTTTAAGTGCTTACTTTTTTCGCTGTTTGAGACTGTAATAATTTTGCTGGATTTTTGGTACACGAGTCACATTGTAGATTCATTAGACATAAAGTCTTTTCTCCGCACGTTATAAACCGTATTTTAAATTGACATTTATTATCTATACTATACTACATCGAATTACTACGTTTATTATACCTAAACCAAATTATATATGAATTACCTATTCAAACAAGAATTCATTAGTCTATTGATCTAAGTTTCTGTTAGAGCTAAACTTTACTCTTCACAAGAGAAACTAGCTTGAGAGTAAAACCACGAACTCAGAACACTCCAAAAGCTTGAAACTCGACATGTTGCTTATAACATGTTGCTGGGTATATACATGTAGTGGGTATAGCCTCATCTGGAGGACTAGGCAATTAGGAGGTTATTACCCCTCCTCACACGCTCATAATTCGTCAATTCCCTCCCGGGCCACAATATGAGTGAGCTCTCGTCGGCCCTCCGGCGGCACTTGCGTCGCTCAGTAATTACTGACCCTACATTGCTATATCAACACATGTATACGTACGTATGTTTCATAAGTACATATAGATAAGACAGCTTTTTAAGTTGTCACTAATTGTAAGGTTTACGAAAGAAACTACGTAGATTGCAGAGCATTATTGTTGGCTTGATAGTTTAAAATCTACTCATTTTGATATTTATTTGTTGTAGTAAACAGAGGGAATCGTCACATATGTAGAAGTAAACTCCGAAGTAAAATAGCTTAACCACGGATTGACCTTAAGACCTTGTATTCGGCACCCGATATAAATACAACCATCCAAGTAAATCCCAGGCTTACTTGCATATAAGGTACCTTCACAACAGTATTCCTAATCCTTTACTGAGTTCGGGAACCTTCAGAATATCGGTCCAAAAATATACAGCGTCGGCATTACGTCCTCTCAACACGAGAAAATAAAATATCAACTTTCATACGTCATGCGTGATGTGTGTGCATGTGTGTGTGATGACGTCACAAATGTAATTTACCCACAGTCTTTGAAGTCAGAAGGCTTGTGTATGTTTATTCATATTATTATTACATGACCTTGTTATTGTAGAGGCTAATGATAATTGAGATCCATTTTTGCGTCATAATGCTTAGTACGAGAAATAAACAACATTTGAGGTTTTCAATAGTTGGCATTTAAGGAAATTATAGACAAACACACTAACATTCTGCAATAGAAACGTATAATAATTGTTGTGAACGACCACGCAGTGTCTTGAAGTTAGATAAGGTGCGTATTTTTTTATACAATTATAAATTGAATAATCTTAATTGTCGGAGTATCGATAGATTATTTGTAGGAGCTCTGATTTTTTAGTGATATAATTTCTATAATAATAAAATATATAATAATACATTTCTATAATACGATAAAGTTACTATAATAAGGCGATGCTATACTTTAGTAGGTAGGTAGTAGTTATTTTTACATTATTCCCTAAACATCCGTACATAAGAGGACTTATAGAATTTCTATTATTATGTATTGTGTGCGTAATCCCATTGTAACAGATCCTTTATTCTGTATACCACCTAAAAAGCCTTTTCTTACTTAACAGAAAAAAGTACCTACACGGTAGAAACAAGCTTAGCGTCAGACTATCTACAAATAGTTCAGTAAATCAACAAGTTGTGTTATATAAATACACTAGCGACCCGCCCCGGCTTCGCACGGGTGCAATATGCATGTATTATACATACAAACCTTCCTTAAGAATCACTCTATCTATTAAAAAAAACCGCATCAAAATCCGTTGCGTAGTTTTAAAGATCTAAGCATACATACGGACATACAGCGAAAGCGACTTTGTTTTATACTATGTATTGATGTAAATCTAGTCTTTTCTATGAATAATATTTATCATAATTACTGAATACTAGCCAAACATATTAAGTTAGTAACACAAACATGCGTAAGGGAACTTAGTGTACCACATAAAGAAAATATTATTAGTACGGGACCTCCCACACGGGGTCTTTTGTACCGTAACGTTTGCTAACGACTAGCAAATTGCCTGCCTACACTGTGACGTCACGTGTAAGCGTGTTATTGTGTTAGGTTCCTACTTATGACACTTATTTCTAAAAATTTTTTAGGATTCATTTCGAATCGAAGTGTTCTCAATTAAGTTGGAATTGAGTCATACCTGAAAGAGGAATTGAAGTCGATAGATTGTTGTTCCATATTTAAATTATTGAGTTAGGTACACACCTGCCTGTGTCTTCATGTCCCTGGAGACGATGGCTCCATGCGCGTTGTGTGCCCGGCAGCGGTACACCGTGGCGTGCACGTCCTGCCGGTACTGCACAGCACTGAACGGCAGGAACACCAGCGTGCCATTGTCCAGCACTTGTCTAAAGAACAAAGAAAAGCCTTATTAAATAAACTTTAAATTCTTTCGATACAAACAAATAATAACCCTGAACTCCAAAACTTAGCAAACGTAAGTAAAATAAAACATTGATATAACTGTACAAGAATGGGCAGTTTATCTTTGAAACACGACCATTACTTTTCCCTTTAAAAGTCATAAAAAGTGCCCAACTTCACCACCTCAAGACCTTTAACCCGAAACAAAAACGTAACGGGCAATATCTTAAAAAATTAACTCGGCGCCATAAACCGCGCGAGATTCCTTCAATTATTCCTGCCTTTAATTTCCTCAATGAAAAAAGGATAAGACTGAATTAAGGACGAACTGCAGTGCCTTTTAAAAAAGAAATGGCGGCCCGTAATTGGTGTTGGGGAGACGGCGGGGAAATTGTGAAAATATTTTACAGGTACGACTATATTGAAGGGAGCAATACGAATTGGAGATCTGTGGGGTTTCCAGGTAAAATTGTTGTGCGGTACAATGGAGCTGAAGTTCGGGTGTAATTAAGTGGAAAATGGCTGGATAGTTACAGTTACGGTTGAGAAATTGTTATATTTCGTTAAGCTCAAACATTTACCTAAGGGCAAACAAACATAACATCACGCCTTTTATCCCCAAAGTGGTAGGCAGAGGTGCACATTACAGCAGTTAATGCCACCGTACAATGTAACACCCACTTCTCACTATTTATGTTATGAGTCCCATGTAAAGGGCGACCCTATTGCCATATACCCGGCACGATTCCAGGCTTCGTGCTATTACTGAGAATTTTTACAAAACTCAGTAATACTTTGCCCGAGAAACAAACCCGAGACCACTTGCCCGGTAGTCACACTAGCGACTATTCGGCCAATGAAGCAAACGACTATAAACATCTTATACGCAAAATAACAAAAATAACAACACAAATAAATAATTATTCTTGTTCAGGTTCCGAGGGAAATCGACAGCTCTATTACACGAGGGTACGTCAAATCAAATACTCAGTAGGAATACAAAACATCTCACATCGACACCGACAGCCTGTGACGTCATCGTTCATACCGACCGTGCTGTGTGGCACCGGGACTTGTGGTGTGTGATTCTAGGTAGGAGTACCTAATATTATAATAATTATGTGTTATTGTTATCATAGGCAAATGCAGGGATTCTCATGAATGTTCATGTTACTGATTAAACTAATGTTGCTGAGTTTATAGGTTAAACTAACAACTATCCTACTCCGAGGATTTATATAAAGGACAAATAGGTTGTTAGTAAAATAAAACTTATCCAGCGATCTGTAAAAATGTTGTAGTACATTAGGTACTGTAATAAGAAAATATAATTTTGTGTGTCATGTCGCAGTTGTCAAGACCAGACCTTGTGCCATGTCTTGTACAAATAAGAAATCTTTAATAATATTATTTTATACTAAATTATTTGTTTTATTGGTCTATTAGACCTAGACTAGACTAATCTTCGATAACTTAACCCATGTTTTTGAATTGAAATAATTGTTTTTATGCTTGTTTGGAGGATAGCAACTTACTTATTCTTAAACTGTCAAACACCAAGCGGTCACCGGCGACCGCAACCTATTGTTCTATAATTGTGTCTATAATGACGGTACTCGACGAGTTAATTCTAAAAATCTACCCTAATGTCAGGCTTATAAGTAACAAAATGTGGGTGTATTTAAACCTCTGGAGGAGTAAGTGCTTATGGAAATAACTGGAATGATGTTTACGCAAACAAATAAATATCAATACCCCTTTTAACAAATTAAAATCACCCCTACCTACATTGAAATAAGGATGCGAAGTAGCCATGATTTTTTGCCGTACACTTTGTACCATTAAACCTTATTACATAGCATGAAGTTCACTCTCTACATGGCTGTCGTATATGTCATTTTGTTTCTACCCCGTGTCTACATACATATGATACATATAGTCTACATGTATGTACATTTGCACGTGTGTGAGACGTCACTCAAGGTTCCCATTTTAATTTACCTTTCAACAGAATTACAACGTTCCCTTCTCTTTAAAACACTCCTCTTATTAAAGTCGGCTTTGTGGTTCGGTGTTAAAATAGAACGTATGAATTGCGTCTAACCATTTTAAGATATTTTACAAAGACGACTTTATAAAAAGAAAATACTTTCTTTGGTTCGAGTTGTATATTGACATTGTGATGAAAATAAATTCGTACTTGAATTGGCCTGTCTGTCTTTAGAATATTACTAGAGACTTAGTTTAGAGTTAATATTAATTATGTATTTATACCCTTTCTTCGCTTACTAGCTTTTAGAAACTACAAAATAGGTGGTCGACGTGAAATTATTCTTGAAATAACCAAAACAGGTGAAAAAGAATACTTGTCTTTATAGCAAAGAAGAATGTTCAAAATGTGCATTATCTTCACAAACATAAACTTATCTTTTAATTCCTTTAGTTTGTGCTGCATTGCGTCCGCGCTAATGTAGCTGTACTAATGTTTACATTTATTCTCTTAATCGCACAAACTTAGCGTTACTTTTCATTATATTGCTACAGTTCGGTAAAATTTTACATAAAACTTTTATTAAGAATTCGTATTTTTTTTAATAATCATCTTACACTGACTGCTTTGTTATTCGTATTGTAAGAGTGACCGTTGAGTGTAATCTCGAAATCTAATTTGTAATCTTGGGGTAATAATAGAAAGATTTCTACGACGATGAACGAAACACAAAAGTATTTGACATTGAACAACAATAGATATAACTTTGTATATTTTGTGTCAAGTCTGTGTCTGGACCTAAAATGAAATAACATCGACGTAAGTACCATCTAGTACTTCTAACAGAATGGTCAGTAAGCGGACAAGCACGGTACCTGCCTGTAACACACACACACAAGGCCACACGTGGTTACTCTATGTATGTGTAACCCGCAAGCCGCGCCGGTGCCGAGTGACCCTTTGATGTTAAAATGTAATCGTTTTATGTGCCGGCGGTTTTGGGTTGGGTTTTCACACTAAATGGGTAGCTTTCCAAGATTTTTTTATTAATATGTAATGTGGTTTAGCTGCCCGGCTTAAGAATATGTTATTAAAATATCACTACGATGATATGCAAGGGTTTCTTCAACTTGTAATGAAAGCCGACGGCTGTCGAACGTCCAAAATATTTGTATTTCTTTTAAATTAGGTGGCAGAATATGCATGGAATTTTTGGTTTTGCCTACATACATACCGAATCTGGCTAGAAATTATTCTGGACATCGGTAATCGTAGAAAATATTTCATTCGACTCAAAATTATGTAATTTTTGTGAAAACTATTCCCATTAGGAAAGAGTAATGTAAAGCTGCAACATTATTAACAACTTTTACATAACACAACTCCCTGTATAACCCATTCGTCTTCATTCGAGGAACAAAAACACAAAGACGGAAGATACAGGATGTCTCATTTGTCATTCCTCTACTTAGTTTGAAGTTGATGGTGTTTTGGGAGGAAAATTCTTTCATATCTTATGGGACAATGATGTTGACAACCCAATGATTTTCGGCTGACATTAATAACAAATCTACATTCAAGATATTTGGTTATATGGTGATTTTTGACATTAGTTCTTAGTGCTATTATTTAATAGATTTCAAATTTTAAAATGACATTAGTGGAACCAAACCCAAATGTCGTAGTAGCTCGGTAGACTAAGATGGCCGCTTCTTATGCACGAGGGTGCTAGTTCGAAACCTACCAACAGCAAGTACAAATGTGACTTTTTCCGAGTTATATGTACTTTTTAAGATTATTCAGACACCACTGACAAACGGCGAAGGAAAATTTCGTGTGGAAACCTGGACTTATAATTTCTAATTATAAGTTTTAAATCGCCAACTCGCATTGAGCAAGGGTGGTGATTAATGTTCAAATCTTCTCCGTGTGAGAAAAAGTCTTTGGTCAGGTGTGGCCACTTATAGGCTATTGATGTGATGTGAAACCCAATTAACATATTAAGGTCTATTTTGAAGAAGATAATAAACAATGGTCCATTATCAGTTACACGTCTACAAGGAAGACCTACATTCAGTTATATGTAATAGATACGTACGTGTGTATGTATGTACTTGTACGGAGTCCTTTGTAACCGTACTCCAGTTCATATTTGTATAATAATTGAGGTAAAAGTCGCAGCGGGTTTTAATTAACGAGCGTTTTATTTTCGCTGAACTGCGGCCAAAAATAGCAGTTTTTAAATGTAGTTGAGTATATTTCATTACGTCGTGCAATTAATACGACGGACCAAATGGAAAATGTAAAAATACATAACTCATACTTTGTATACTGTTATATTATATTATTCATATATATGTATGCATATATTTACACTCTCGTTTTATATTGCGATGTAGGTACATTGTACATCCTTGAATGCTTCACTGAGTCATAGTGATATTGCGTTTTGTGTTTCAGTTTTTTGTTCAGCATTCGACTGTTGATATAAATGTAGTGTTTGAATCAAATTTCAGCTGAAAATATTGTTTTTAATGTTAATTATTTTTTAAATATTCTATCATTTATAGTGAGATGTAAATTCATGAAGCTCATATTTTTACTGCATTTTTTTTCGAATTATACAAACGAGTAGAAACAAGTTATATACCACAAGGTTACGTTCGTTTACTGAGAAAAATCTACCTTGGTAGGTATATTGTTAGAAATTGTATTTTCACCGAAAATATTTACCGATAGTACCCTCACTCGATCACAGGGACTTGGAACAAATTTTACGTACATGTCATCATTGAGCAGGAGGTTCATTTCTCAAGGGAAATCTGCGGATAACTCCGAGGTAACAATATTATAAGAGTTTTGCCTAAATTATATCTACTAGCAATTTCTTTGTGGTGCTTACAACGGCTTACTGGGAGTTCTCAATCTGATTGGAAAACTTGCCGTAGTTTATCATATCGCAGACATTTGTAATCTAATAAAGTTAATTTAATT